GAGAGGTTGATTGGGTTTCATTTCTTGCAGATGAGGAACCACGGGTTATTTTAACAAAGCTAAATGATTGGGGAGATGGTAGAGGCACTATATTTGGACGCTCCATATCACACAATCATTCATTACGCAGCAAGTGCATCCAATTCATTCGTTTTCTTTTTCGGATGTTTTACCTGGTTAGACCAATCGCCAGTGGGCACGGTGGCCGATAAAATTTCGAGCTCGTCTTGTTGAAAATGGGCAACAGCTCGTTAGCTTCATCTGAAATCGCCTGCAGAATAAAAATTTAATTGAATCGGATTGTACAGTTAAGGTTTTCTACCATTTATTATACAATAATATGTAATTTAATATTTAAAGAAATATCCGGGCACATATGGTAAAGCTCAAAATAACTATTTGCTCTCCTGACAAAAATAATTGTGTGAGCAGCTCTAAGTTATATAGTTGACTCTAATACAGGTGACCATGTGGATGGATACTTCATAAAAGTCATAAAACTTCCGCTTATTCAAGCTTATTTGATTATATAACACATATATAATGTATAAGAGATTTAGAACAGTTGTTTGTTCGATCGTTACTCCTTAAAGTCTGACAAATTTACACCATTTTATTCTTTTGTTTTTGGAAATGCTATCAATTTATATTAGGTTCGCAGATCGTCTTCGGTGCGATATCCCTGCTCTCAAATTTTTATGTTCCCAGGTGTCTTTGTACCCATATTCATAAAATTGAAGTAATCGTACCTTCATATAAATAATGGCATCGGTGCCATATCTTCACACGACAACAATACAATATCCCCATGGAAGTAGCGCGACATTTTTATACTCAACATTTTTATACTCTCGCAACCTGTTGCTACAGAGTATAATAGTTTTGTTCACCTAACGGTTGTTTGTATCACCTAAAACTAATCGAGTTAGATATAGGGTTATATATATATATATATATAAATGATCAGGGTGAAGAGACGAGTTGAAATCCGGGTGACTGTCTGTCCGTCCGTCCGTGCAAGCTCTAACTTGAGTAAAAATTGAGATATCTTTATGAAACTTGGTAGACATATTTCTTGGTAGCGTGAGACGGTTAGTATTGCAGATGGGCGTAATCGGACCACTGCCACGCCCACAAAACGCCATTAATCAAAAACAAATAAATTGCCATAACTAAGCTCGGCAATAAGAAACAAGACTGTTATTTTGTACACATTATCACATTAGGGAAGGGAATCTGCAGTTAACATTTTTTTTAAAGTGGGCATATCTCTTAACCCGCTAAAGCTATAATAACAAAATTCACTGGAAGCAAATGCTTTTAGAACCTCTACCTACAGTGTGAAAATAGTTAAATGCGGGTTGTAACTCCGCCCACTCCCCATATAACGGTACTGTTAAAAACTTCTAAAAGCGCGATAAATCAAGCACTAAACACGCCAGAGACATTAAATTTTATCTCTAGGATGGTATGAGATGACTTCATAGGAACCGCGTTCAAAATTAATCAGTGGGCGTGGCACCGCCCACTTTTAGGTGAAAACCCATATCTTGCAATCCGCTTAACCGATTTCCCATATTCATAAAAATTGAAGTACTCGTACCTTCATATAAATAATGGCATCGGTGCCATATCCTTCACACGACAACAATACAATATCCCCATGGAAGTAGCGCGCATATAAACGTGAAATGGGCAAGCCATAGCCATACCCAGCTAATGGCACCGTATGTAGATCGGATTTTGATGGCTGTGGTGCTGTGCTGTACATATATTTGAACAACTGATCTGTTTGGGAACGTGGAATGCCGCCACCTTGGTCGGAGATCTGTAAAAGCATATATAGACGTATGAATACTTCTCAAATTTAACAAAAACTAGTTTTTATACCTTCACACATATATCCTCTTTGCCCTCCGCTATGAGCACCTTAATGGGTGGCAGCTTTTCACATTTATCCTGATCGTTATTTTCCACAACAGCACGCATGGAATTTTTAAACAGCTCGAAAAGCATGTGGTATAAATGCGAGGGCACATAAACAGTGCGTATGGGACTATTTGCTGTGTCGTCTGGATTATGTTCAGTTATTTCCAGTTCTGGACTGATCAGGTAGTATTGATCGCAGAGAAAGCGTGCGTTTTCATAGGCATCTCTTACCACCGACGAGATCTGACATGCTGGATCCAAGCAGCCAATATGACGACCTTGCTCATTGGGAAACTGGCCGAATAGTATAGCTATGAGCAAAGAAAAACAAATAATAACAAACAAAAAAATTTAAAAAAAAAACAAAAAACGTTAATTTCGGTTGCACCAAAGCTAGAATACCCTTCACAACTCCAAAGATTCCATACAAGAACTTGATTATGATCATTTAGTTTGTACGGCAGCTACATGATATAGTGGTCCGATCTAAAAAATTTCTTCGGATATTGTAGGATTGTCTTGGACACTAATCCATGCTAAATTTCATGAAAATATCTCGTCAAATAAATAAGTTATCAATATAAGGACTAGAGTATGATCGGTCAGTTTGTATGGCGGCTATATTCTATAGTGATCCGATCTGAACAATATGTCTGGAGATTGTAGCATTGCCTTAGATAATAATCCATGGTAAATTTCGCGAAAATAATTTGTCAAATAAAAAATTTTCCTTACAAGAACTTGATCTTGATCGTTCAATTTGAATAGCAGCTATATAGTCGCCCGATATCAGCGGTTCCGACAAATGAGCAGTTGCGGGACTAGTTCGCGTATATAAAGATAGACGGACACGGCTAAATCGACTCAGCTTGACTTGCTGATAGCTTACATATATTTTTTTTTTCTTTCTGGGTCATAGAAATTTCGTGGCTATTCAGTTTGCCCTGTTCAGGGTATAACAATTATGAAAAAAGTATAAAATTTTACTCACTGTGCTGATTGATTAGCATTCGTATGCTAATGCGTGACATGTATAACCGATCGAGGAAGTATTGTATCGACGATTCCATGCCGCAATCAACGGGTCCGCCCTGATGCTCCTTCATTTCGATGACGCCCTGAGCCATTGTTTGCACAACATCACTGTGCCTATTGCGTATGTGCACCAAAGTGTTGCAAAACCTGATATGGATGAGATAATGTAAATACTTGTATTCCAAGTGATATATGCGCTCATGGGCACACATACATATATTTGCGCATGTAACAGCTAAGTGCAAACAGTCAAATTTAGATGCCTATAAAGGATTTATTATGCCGGTAATAGTTAACTTAGCATTGCGTAATGTGTGTCGGTATGTCTCATTGTGTAATATGTTAGGCATAAAACATGCTAAAATGCCAAGACTTTGCAGCTTATTGCGAGTTCAAGCCAAGTCAAACACAAAGTGATCACTTACACCCCCATAAAGCTACAATCGGAGCAGTGATTCTTATTGCTGTACTCACTTTTCTAAATTACTATGCGTTGGTTCGGCCTTTTCGAACTCCAGCACCTCCTCGAAGCTTTGCACATACCATGAGCTAACCTGGCTTACGGATTGGGTGTTAAGCAAATGGTCGGGAAGCAACGCGATCTCCTTCATGATATTCGCCAAACGAACGGGCAGTTCTTTACGCAGAAATATAAATGATTTCTTCTCACATGCATTTTGACCTGTACGAAGGAGTATTAGAAGTAGAGAAAAACTTAAAAAGTGTTTATTGCTGTTGACTTAATTAAAGTTTTTCAAGGTTAGTAATACAAATATATTATAAATAATAAAAAGCTTAATATTCAAAATGGCTTAATATATTAAAACATTAGAAAACATAGGAAACCATACATCATAATGTATAATAATGTAAGCATACTAAGAATTTGAGATAGTAAAAAATAATGATTGTTGACAAATTTTATTGTTTTTAAATTTTTAAAAATTCATGGTATTTAAGGTAGGATGGAAATGAGGTCTAAATTGATCAAAAATTTGAGACAGCAGCTACATTTTATGGCAAATATTTCAACCAGAACCGGGCTTGAAGCAATGTTCGGCAACGTTCTCTTAGTATAGTGTGCCAACTTTGAACTACCGCTTTCAAGTTGTTAATGTACATACAAGTACCGATTTCTCAAATGTGTTTGATAAGGTTAGTCGTTCGATTTTAAAATCTAAATTATTTTGGGTGTTTGCTCAGTTTTTCTATCCTTAAACATTTCAAGTATTCTTCGCAATTTTAATAAATGACGATTACCTACTGTAATTTCTTCTATTATATATCTGACATATGATTTGAAGATCTTTGTTTAATCTCTGATTCATCTGACTCCAATAAGTTCATTGTAACCTGAAGAACATGCCACATTCGACATTTCATTTAGAATTTTAAATTTTTGGAGATATTTGTTGAACATCCTAGCCGGACTTCAAATTTTTATATAATGTTGTGGAATATCATTTGTATAATGGTGACAAAAAACTTATTTTCGCACTAGACTTCAAATAGCTTGTTTTATAATATTTTCTGACTTGAAAATAAGGTTAGAGAACTAGATCAAATCCTATCGAATTGAGTTTTATTTTACACGTTTTAGACTAGTTCTGTGATTTGTGGGAATTGTGATTGGCTCAAATGTCAAATTACTGTCAAAAATAAAATACAAATAATGTTTTCCCAGATATTCATTACGTAAAATTGTAAATTGTTGTTTATAGAAACTTAAGGTTATTAAAATACATATTGGCGCGTAAAGAAGCATTTCTCCAAAAATTGGCTCTCTACTACCCATGTAACCGCCTCAAGTTTTTAATGGTTTCTCATTATTTTCTGTCTTTGAAACGTCACATAAATATAATATTATATATGTATGACATACGTCACAGTTTTTACAATTATATACTTTATTGTTGTTAGAAAACAATTAGAATTAAATGTTAGAAACTTATTAGATTGTAATTTACTTACAAAATCCAACGCCTGCAAAAATTGAAGTCGAACGACCGTTAAGCGCGTCGCACGTTCAGTGAATATGCCCAAAACGAGATGATCCCCGATCCCGATTTTTAAAAGAAAATTTTGTTCGGTGATATAGCTCCCTTTTGGTTAAATGGTTACGTTAATAAACAAAATTGTCACATTTGTTGTGGTGATAATCCACAAGCCATTGTTGAGACTTCGTTACCTATTTTCTTTCTTCTTCTTCTTTATTTTGAATATTGAATTAAAATTGTCTGATATTATTTTAATATGAAATTAAAAACATGAAAAACTTTAGCTTCGGTTGCATCGAAACTATAATACCCTTCACAAATAAAAAAATTTCCATACAATGCCCTGTTTTTGATCGATCAGTTTTTATGGCTGATATATGCTATAGTCGTCGATATCGGCGGTTCCGAGAAATGAGCAGCTTCTTGGTGAAAAAAGACGATGGCAATTTCAGATTGATATCTCAAAAACTGAGGGACTAGTTCGCGTATACATATACAGACAGACAGACATGGCTAAATCGGTTCGTCTCGTTACGCTGATCATTTATATACATACACATGTATGTATGTATTATATATTTAATAGGGTCATTTCCTTAAGAATATACTAAATTTATGTTTCATAAGAAGGAGACACGGCGGTATAGTCAAAAGATGTTTGTGTATTCTGAGAATAAAATTTCTTTAAATTTCCCAGAAAGTCGGAAACGTTTCAGAGAAAAAACATGTGATTTCATATGAGTTATGTATGCACAGATATACGAATTGTATGTATGTTCATATTTATGAGCGTATTTTATAACTCGGTTTATTAGCATTTTTTCAAGTTTATGAAGTCAATAACCGGTTGAGGCAAACTTAAAAAATGCAAAGTTCAGCAAAATAAAGGGTAAACAAGATTTCAAGCACATGAGTAACGAGCAAATTTTAAATTTAAAACAATACATGCTAACATGCAAACAAACATTTAAGTATAAGTATGTATGTTTGTAGCTTTTGCAAGCTGCGATATGAAAGTAAAATTGCCGATATGTAGCAATTTAAGCGAACATACAAAGTTATTTATTTAGCAATAAAATTTAATTAGGCGCAATATGCCACATACATATTTAAATATGTACATACATATAAACTCATATGAAGGCAATTACATACTGAAGTACTTTGCTTATTTATGATACTGAATTTTACGATCGCCCCTAAGCACTTCAAATATAGTAAGTCAAGTGGACGAGTGGGCTCAGCGCAAATGCCATCAAGGTGTTTGTTTGTTCCACATGGAAATAGACGATTGTCTCGAAAGCAGACGATTATTGCAAATTGTAGCTAATAGTTCGAGCCGAAGTAGTGAGTACTATCGGGCAATTTCGACTTGTATTGTTAGCGTTTACAATGTACGAATTCAATTAAGTTCCATATATTTTATTTGTTTGTATGCGTGAAAAAAGAAAATATCATTTAGCACAGTGGGCCACAAAGCTTAGTCGTAAGCATTAAAAAACGATCCATTGAGCGAGAAACATCGTATGCGTGAACGAGCGCAAGTATATATAATACATTGTAAAGTTCAGAGAGCGAATGTAAACGTATGACACACACGCTACTTTTATGGTTGCCTTATGAAATGATCGAGTTTGGTTTCGGTGATTAAATGTGTGAAACGATCGTATGTACATATGAATGTATGTGTGTGAGATCGGACAGGCGCGTTCGCTTTGCAGATAGCACGCTTAAGAGCGCTTGACAGCGACAAAGCGATCTGATGTAGTCATGTTGGCGACGACGACGTCGACTGATTATGCCATTTTTGGTGGCGAAGTTGGTCAAAAAGAAAATCATAAAAACGGAAAGAATAAAATATAATAAAAAAAATAGACGAATAAAAACAATAACAAGTATGAGCTCACCATCAATGGAGAAAACACAAAACGAGAAAGGCAAACCAAAACTTAGAAAAGACGCGCGCGTGTGAATATTTTGACTAGATAAAGCAACAATTTATGGACTTTGCTTATATACTATATAAATGGCCACATTAGTATTCTAGATATGTTTTTTCTTTTATTTTTAACACAACAATTGTGTGCCGGTAAACAAGCCCCCGCCAACTATGCCAATAACAAACGTGGAAATCTACATGCCCGACGCGAAATTATACACATATCTGTAAATACAAACATATTGTTAGCAATGTACGAGTATTTAGTTTATCTATAAATCGGTACTATAAATTTCTAGTAGCCGAACTCTACTGTTATGTTCCAATCCATATATACGTTTCGTTTTGAAATTTTTAACACTATTTCCATACATATGTACTTCATTTACGAGGTAACGCAGGAGAAAAAATCTGGAATCAAATTTGTTAATATTTCTCATTTTAAAATCAAAAATAACCGATTTTTTCGCAAATAATCGCTTTTCTTCCTCCAGTTTCCCAAAGTAATTGCTGCCATTGCCGTATTTTTATACTCTCGCAACTTGTTGCTACAGAGTATAATAGTTTTGTTCACCTACGGTTGTTTGTATCACCTAAAACTAATCGAGTTAGATATAGAGTTATACTTGTAGATATATAAATGATCAGGATGAAGAGACGAGTTGAAATCCGGGTGGATGTCTGTCCGCCCGTCCGTGCAAGCTGAAACTTGAGTAAAAATTGAGATATCTTTATGAAACTTGGTACACATGTTTCTTGGTACCGTAAGACGGTTGAGATGATGGGCGTAATCGGACCACAAAACGCCATTAATCAAAAACAAATAAATTGCCACAACTAAGCTCCGCAATAAGATACAAGACTGTTATTTGATACACAAGATCACATTAAGGAGGGGCATCTGTAGTTAAAATTAAAGTGGGCGTGGTCCCGCCCCTAATAGGTTTAATGTGCATATCTCCTAAACTGCTAAAGCTATAATAACAAAAAACACTGGAAGCAAATGTTTTTAGCACCTCTACCTACAGTGTGAAAATGGGTGAAATCCTTACTTGTTTAATAATATTTTTCTATGAAAATTTAACATGTATAATAAAATCAAAATCATTAAAATGGGCCTTGTTTTACACGAATTAATCCTACTCCCCCTTAATAATGTAGGCTGAAAAAGATATACAATATAATGTGTCATATTCTTCCAATCAAGAGAATTTCGAAAAATGTAAACTAATTTAGTATACACGAGGTATTAAAGAGATGTTTTGTTTATGGAAATTAAAAAAAGGCGTGACTAATAATTGAATTATTCATAGCAAATTTAACTGAGTGCCTTCCTTTACTTATACAAGTATATTCCGATTTATTGCTCCGTGAGGTGTGTATATGTTTTCATTCCAAGGTGCTAATGGCAATAGAGACGAGATAAAAGCTGCAAAAGTATGAATATATTTACATATGTACATACTATACATATACGAATGCATTCATGTGCATAAGTATTTTGACGCAAAAGCAAAGCAAATCAATGAAAATAAAGCGATAATAAAAAATGTTTCGTATTAGTTAGATGTGATATAAAACTAAAAGTAAAATTATTTAACGCTTCTAAACGAGAAAAAGTCGTAGGTACGACATTCATACTTGTAAATACACGCAGAACGAAGGACCTACAGAGGTCCTTTCTGAAAGCATCACTAAAGAAATGTGAAAATTCCAAATTATGTATGGGAATCACATGGAATAATA